TATCACTGCATATCAATTAGAGACTCATTGTTTTCCTACAGGGCTGAAGAAGATCCTGGAAGTGGCTGGGACTGTCCCAGAGATATCAGAAGGGCCACCTCTTACAGACAACAGTCACATGAGCTGTTCAGTCTTGCTGAGCAAACTCTATGATGACCTAAAGAGTGACAAAGAGAGGGAGAACTTCAACAAACTATGTGAAGAATATGTTCAGTGAGTTGACCAAGGAAGCTTATTTAAGCTGTTTGTTCGTTTGGATCTTTTTTCCAGAGCTGCCTCACAAGTCCTTTGTGAGCATGAAAACTGATTAATTCTTCTAACATAATGTTGTTGTGGGCAGGCAACATTTCAGCCAGCCTGGCCTAGAGGGCAAGCTGCGAGCCATCCAGACAGTATCAGTGCTTCTACAAGGGCCGAGTGACGTGGGTAACAGAACTCTGGAAATGTCAGGAATGATGGATGCCGTGATATCGCTGTGTGCCTCCGAAGATGTTACTCACCAGCAGGTAGCGGTTGAGGCTCTAATCCATGCTGCAGGCAAAGCCAAGAGAGCTTCATTTATCACAGCCAACGGAGTGTCCCTTCTAAAGGACCTATACAAGAAGAGCGAGAATGACAGGATACGTGTGAGAGCCCTAGTGGTAAGTACCACAGATAGTTTTAGAAAATAACACTTCTAAATAAAGATGAAAATAACAGCTATGTGTATGTGGGCTATTGCACAGGGTTTGTGCAAGCTTGGATCAGCAGGAGGAACAGATTTCAGCATGAAGCAGTTTGCAGAGGGATCTACACTTAAGCTTGCCAAGCAGTGCAGGAAGTATGTTGTCTTATATTGAATCTTAAGCCTAGGTATAGATTAAGAGATGCGGCATGCTTGATGTACATCTGCAAAACCTGATCTAAATACCAGGTTTTGAGTGGATTACTGGATTTCAAATAACTGACAAGCTTTATCTCTTTCTCTGTAAGATGACTCACGCTGCAATCCACAGTACCAAGAAAGGATTATGCTGCCAATATCCCAGTACCAGACAGCAAAACTTCACCAGGCATCCTGTGACCATGAC